GGGGAGGGGCGGGGCCAAGCGGAAACTTACACACCGGCCGGACCGAATAAAGTACCCTGGCCTGCCAAACCCTAGTGAGAGTGGGGTGGAGGGGGAGGGGAGACCCGACTGGTGCGGGACAGGGGAGCCCAAGAGGACGGGGTGGAGTGGGGAGGGGATGAGCAGGCGCTGCGGCTGAGTCTCCCAGGGAACTGAGCGCCTCTCGCTTCTCCTGTTTGCAGAGATTGCAGAAAAAAATGTGGATTTGATTCTCTTGCTGTGTTTATCTCACACATCTTCATATTTTGAATGTAATATTCTCCCCCTCTCTCGTTCTCTCTCCTTTGTCTCATCGCTTTGCGTTTCTATGTCTCTCTTTTCTCTTATTCTCGGATAGCGAAAGAAAGGAAAGGAGAAAGCGCCCCCGCGATGGTCATTCATCAGGCTCTTGGCCCGTGCGTCTTCACTTTTGCCGAGAGCTAAGGTCGCAATCCACCCAAACCATCATCCCTATCCCTCCTGGGTGGAAAGACACTGCACTCCCGGTAGCTGCCCCCACCCCACCCCCTTTAACCGGGCCCCCGGTCTCCTTTGCCTTCCTTGGGTCTCTCCTTAATCAAATGGAATTTGTGGCGCAAGGACCTAACCTCCAAGGGTTCTGGGTACATTTTTTTGCCCCTCACCCCACCCTGTCGGAGAATTTAGCTCCCAATAAATAAACTACGTTTGAGAAAAGCCAATGGAGCGGACGCCACCGCACCGCGCCGCGCGGGAGAGCTGGGATCCCGGCAGAAGCTGTGGAGGGGGCGCGCCGTCAGCGGAGGCTCCTGGCAGCTGCAAGCCAGCTCCGGTGTGCTGGGTTCCCAGCCTTCCCGCCGGGTCTGGTTTTACAAGGGGATGCCAGCTCCCCTTGGGCGGCGGTGGTGGCTGCGGCGTTTGCCAATGCTGGGAAATGAGAGGCCGGCGTGGCCACAGCTGACATAAAGCTTAGCCTGCCTTCTGGACCATAGGCACCCTAGAGACAGAGGGGTTCTCCCAGCCGAGATCTAAGACTCTTAATTAAGATCGCCGGCGGAAAATTAAAAAGCATTCCTGGCAAACAAGTTTTTTTGCATTTTTAAAAAAATTAAAATATTATAAATTGAGGATGGGGAAATAGCTTCTGAATTCACACGTCTTGGAAGGGTAAATCTCCTTTCTGAGTTAGACTTCTGTTATTTGAGAGTCTTGGATGAGCAAACTCATAATCAGCCAAGCGACTTTGGCCTGAACCTGTGAGCTTAAAATGAGACTCGCTTTTGCCCTTTAAAAACCATTAAACAAGAAAAGGAAAAACGCATTTGGACACATAATGGATTTTCTCAAAACTGCCATCTTCTTGCAGAGAGCAACCTAGCTGCTTAAAAAACAAATCTCCTTCCAATTGAAGCTAGTTTAGCAGCCTTTACCTTGGCGGTGGGAGGGGGGGAAAGGCAGCTTCCTCCAAAACGGAATTATTTCGCGAGTGAGGTTGAGACCTGATCCTTAGAATGTGCAGCCAAGGCCAAGGGGAAAGCGCCGGAGACCTAATCTGGTTTGCGCGTGGGGGTCGTTTCACATTAGACTGCAATTCAGCCCAGAACATCAGAAAGAAAATCGAGGCGTCTTCAGTGAGAATCATTTCATTTTGATCGTTTAGAGCTGCGGGTAGACGGCAGAGAGGGTGGCTCCAGGGAGTCCTCTGGCCCGCCCGGTTTTCTGCAGACACCGTTAGAGAAATGGGCAAGAAGTGAAGGGAAATGACAACATGGCAGGCAGCTCGGGCACACCTCGTGGGCTGATAAAGGAAGGGCTCCATTTGATTTATCATAGTTATTTACCTTTGATGTCAGCGAGTGGGAATGAAGTGCATCTTGGTCTAATTAAAAAGGCCTAAAAAGGCATTTGAAATGGGTTTGCTATCTGATCACGAGATGTGAGTTCCGCGTTTGGCAGCTTTCTAAAATATTGCTTGGACTATTTAAACAGAACAATTAGCAGCATGCTAAAATGTTTGCATGCTATGCTTAGAAGCTTTTAGCTGTAAACTTTAGGCGATCTGTTCCCCTTTAAGTTAAAAAAGGATGATGCTGCTTCCTTGTGGCGAAGGCTGTCAGGAACCCGCTGATCAATAAAAGTAAACTGGCGCCTCCACGGCTTGATTGAGCGGGAGCAAAGAGTCTGAGAAGTAGTCTCGGCCATTAACAATCCCCCAGGTAATGAGAAATGGAAGAATTACTCAGGTAAAATGATTAACATTGCCGTGGCATCTGAAAAGATGCACACAACAAGATAAGGAGACTGCGGACCTCTTACCTTAGGGAGTGCTAATAGAATGTCTATATTCTGCTGCCTTTTAAAGATAAATAGGAGAATTCAATTCATGTAGAATGTCATTACCTTTGTAATTGCAATCACATTGGAAAGACATGTTCTGCATTTGCAAAGACAAACGCTCTTCACTAACGCAATGGCACCATTTCCCCTGCTTCCTGCTCACTGCTCACAGTCCGGGCAACCCTCTCTTCCAAGCAGAGTACCCAAGTATTTCCAGCTACCAAATCGCTTTTATAGAAGCCCAAAATGCTGAAGGAGGCAGGGGGCGTATGTACTGCGTTCTTTCTTTCCCATTACCTCCCCCGACCTTAAGCTCAAAATGACAGTTACAACCCCCTCCACACACGACAGTTCTCCCCACCCCCCCCCGTCTATGTCTATAGATAATCCGAACACCCTTTGCTCTCAGTTCATTTTATTTTTCTAATAGGTATCTGCGATGATTGTACTCCAACAATACTATTAACTAAACGAGTGGACAAAAACCACCTTCATGATCAGGAATTTATTAGCTAGCTGAATAAAAGTGTCTGCATGCAAATAATAAAAACAAAAAGAAAGTTCTGTTCATTTTCGCTTCCATTTACTTCAATTCTGAAGGAAGTCCCGCCTCCCCAACCTCTTTAGAGACACAAGAGGGACATCTAGTGATCGTTCTTGGTATTTTTCCATCTAACTGCTCAGAAGAGGTTCTGAGTACCAGCTATGGTTCTAAGAGGTATTCTGAAGCTTTCTAGGCCAAGACAGTTCCTTAGGCTACTGAGGCCAGAATCAAAATTGGTAAAAGAATTGTTTTTTTGTCTTTAGAATTTCATCCAGGTCACAAAACCATCCCTAACAGCAATAAAAGAAACAAAAATGGGGAAGTACCTTTAAATGAAGCCAGTGTGAGTGTAATTTTC